AAGCGTTCCCAGAAGCATGGTTCACCGCCTAGGATCACACACCTCATTCGCTCCTAGTTGCCGTCTAGAGAACTGCGCAGCACGGGAAGCTATAGCTCGCGAACTGCTTTCTGCGTATAGCTAGAAGGCGATCATCCTGCATCGCTTGCATCTAGCGGGGCCGGCCTTTGCAAGAACTTGAACAAAGACGCCAACGTAATCGTTACAAGCTGCTCCAGGGACTGAGACGCGACGTGGCTGCAGTTGACAGTTCCGCGAGGGACATGCCAACCGCGCCCATGTCAGCATGTCAGCTCCACGATGCAGACGGCGGAGTCCTGGTAGCGAGGCCCCCCTGCAGGCACAGAGGGACCGTTTCAGCTCTCAGCACAACACCAGCATAAATCGGAAACGATGCAACCTCGCGAGGGACGGCTGCAGGGTTGGAGAGGAAGAAACAGGCTGACTGATGGCCGCGAGGGCGACAAGAGTGCGGGGAGGCCTAGACAGACAGCCGTGAGCAAGGCAGAGTGAAACACGGTCGTCGCTGACATGGCTGAACCGGCGTGCTGGGTCTCTCCATAGGGCTGGGAAGGAAAGTGCGACTGGCGAGCCGCCGGTCGGTCGATGCCGCATGAACACCAGAGCTGCCTCCACCACCGCCCACCCACCGCGCGACAAACACGGCGCCGTGACGCCGAACTGCTTCTAGCGAGCGTCTCCCCTCTTTTGACAGCCAACGACAAGGTCGATGCTGGTCGTCACTGCCGGCACCCACATGGGTCGCGCCTGGGATACAGCACATCGCGCGACGGCATTCGCCCGCGGCTGCAGAATGAAGCGCGCGTGGGGCTGACATGTCCAGCCTGAGACGACTGAGCATGAGCGCCTGGGCCCTGCCGACACCTCAGCGCACAAGAGACGGCGTTTCAGGCCTGGTGAAGCGGTTCCAGCTATAGTGCACCTGCACAGTAGACATCATCGAAACATCGCAACCAAGCATCATGGCCCGTCTTCTGCAGCACATCTCTAATCGGAAACCTTTGCCAACGCAGAGTCAGCGACCAGGCGCTTCCACCCACCCCAGGCGCGCCGACTTACGGTCCTTCTTTACGTCATTGCCCGTCTTGCCCGCCAACGGAATGACTTTCGGCGCGGGCCTGATATCACCATCTCCAGCTCAGGCATGTGTAGGTTATCCGAGGCAGCCAGATTGCGATGACTGGGGACGCGGCGGTTAGCGAAATTTATCATGGTGTAGTCTACAACACGGCCTGATACCCACCGAGCTTTTGGCGCCCGTTGTTCATGCACAACATATCTTCCTTCGACATAGCACCGCCGCTATCTCTTTTCCAGAAACAGCCTCCACGGGCAGTGAGATTCTTCTGGCTACATTTTTCCTTCTCCGGGGGGTCCAATCTTGGGCGCTGGCAACGAGTCAGCATACGTGCCGTCCGGACGCCTTCGATTGCAGCCGTAGATTGTCATACGCGACGATTGTGTCGACCCAGCCGCGCTGGCTGTGTTCACACCTTGCGTATGCCGCAAGTGCTCGACTCGCGGACCTCTGCATCATCTCACGCCGTCACCGTGTCACGGCACATCCCAGCATGTGCGGTGCGGTGGTACAACTCACAAAGACCGTTGGAGACGCACCACCCAGCCCGACGGCTGCTTGCAACCGTAACCACACGGCAGCCGCCGCTGCAACCACCAAGTGCCGAATTAGCAGAAACAGTCCCTTACAACGGACCGAACCATCAGGCTGTACGTGCACGACAAGCCAACTATATTTGTGTAACTTGGAATTTGTAAGGTTTGAACGCACGAGCACAAAGTGCACTGATGATCACATGGGACGTCACGCAGAACACCTGCAGGTAACTACCTTGACGTCGACTTAGGCCAGCAACAGGGTCTCCCACGAGGCAAGCCAACGCAGTCTCCTCATACAGGGGCCATGATTCATCGTCTAACCTCCTCACCTGATTTTCACGTTGCGGAGTCTACACAGAGCACGAGAAAATGCAGAGCGTCACCGTGAGCCAAGTAACACCGGATACTCGGTACTCCCAGCACGTTCTATCACCCTCCTACTGCGAAACTAGCAAGTTCAACACACGATTTCGATTTCGATCTCGATACCCGACGGACATGGCGCGCATGTCCGCTCCCAAGATCCGATGTCAGAGCCGTTTCGGACACCAGCGGCAACCCCTTGCTAGACATCGCCTTGTTGCCTACAGCCCGCGCGTCAACTACGATTTGGTTGCAGAATTGTGTCCCTCTGATTCAGAATGTGGGTACTATCATGCACAATCGGGCGTTATTACGCTGTACGTACCACCGGCTGATATCTATCCGACTGAAAATGAGATTGACGTGCTCACCGCCCGCTCGAAAAACTTCAATCTTGTCCAGAACTGGAACCGGTATTCGAAGCCGAACGCCTTGCGTGTGAACAGCATCTCCATCTGTGGGGTTCGCATGTATACCCTGACCCACGTTGGTCTGGCTACGCTGGCGGACCAACTGTCCTGGCGTATGACTAGCGTAAAAGTCTTCGGTATCTCCTCCGTTCGCGCTAAAAAGCAGGGTTCTGCGTGTCATCGCAAATCAAATCACGGCAACGCAGTCACTTGTTTTCCAATGAGATTACGATGTGCGAGGAATTAAGCTTTGCACGTTCTGGAACCCTACACCCGCGAGGGACCCGTCAAAACCCATGAAACCCAAGGCTTCCAACTCGGGAATCACCGTCTACTGTACCCGTCATACTGGTCCCGCTATGTTGGCGTCTCGTCTCATGGTGTATTTTCGACACATGACTGGTGCTAGAGATTAATTATTACCGACGGGATGACCTTGGTATTCGTCTTATACACAACCCGTCCCATTACTACTCCTGTGCAGCTAAACCGTTCTGCTGTTATACACCAGCACAAGCGTCTGTTAAGCAAGGAACATTCCAAATATCTTCCTCACGCCCGGGGCGTGGTGCCGGTCCAACGGCTAGCTCGCATCATGATCGATGCCCATCCCATATTGTACACTCCCGCGACATCTAGACCCATTGCCATCTCTTTCGTATCCACTTCAGGACATACACCAACAGCACAAGTACAGGAACCTCGATCAAGGGGCCCACCGTACTTGCCAGAGCCTGCCCGCTACCCGCGCCGTAGACCGCGACGACAACCGCGATAGCAAGCTCAAAGTTGTTGCTTGCAGCAGTAAAGCTCTGCGTGCAGCTAACCTTGTAGCTAAATCCCATCTTCCAGCAGAACCAGACCGTACTCGTAAAGATGACGATGAAGTAGACCAGGAGTGGCGCGCAAACCCTCAGCACATCCGTAATCTGCCTGACAACATGCGCGCCCTGACTAGCAAAGAGAACGATGATCGTGTAAATCAGGCCGATGAGCGAAAAAGGCGCGATGTAACGTATGAACCTGCGTTGATAGCGGTCCTCTCCCAGCATCGACCTCAGTGCCAACCTCGTAATCACAGCGGCACCAAGTGGTATCCCCAAAAAGACACCCACACTCTGCGCGACCTTCTCATACGAAATATCCGTCTTGTCCCCATGACTAACCACCTGGATATAAAACACCGCAAAAGGCGCAAACAGCACAATCTGCAATATCGAATTAAACGCCACAAGCACAGCGCAGTAGTCGCCGTCGCCGCCTGCGAGATCCGTCCAGATGAGTACCATGGCGATGCAGCGCGCGATGCCCACGAAGATGAGTCCTTCGCGTAAATCCTGGCGGTCGGGTAGGAAGGCCCATGCTAATCCCACCATGAAGAGGGGGGCGATGATCCAGTTGAGAACGAAGGAGACGGCGATTTGGATCCAGAGGTCGCGTTTCTTGAGAAGGAGGTGCAGCGTTTCGAAGCGGACTTTGCAGAGGATGGGGTACATCATTACTAGGAGGCCGATTGCTATATCACACATTAGCAGCTGGCATGATACCTGCGAGATAGATCATAGGACGAGGGTGATGATGGAAGGGATGAGACGTACCAATCGGTATACTGACGCCCACAAACTCTCCTCTCTGCAACGCCGGGCCTACGGAGTCGACCGTGTTACCCAACGCGATACCGATGCCCATGGCGAGGATGATCCATACCACTAGGAAGCGGTCGAGGAACGAGAGGCCTTTCAGGGGAGGAAGGTCTTTTTGTGTGGATGGGTTGTTGCCTGTACAAACATGTTAGTCTTGACGACACCAAAAGTTGCGATACCTCGGATTCGACAGCATCTCGACATGCGCTATATGAGTTGCAGGAGGTGTATCTGGCTCGTCGCCGCAATGCGCTACAAGATCGACCATGCCCGGCTCTACGCAGTCTCAAACATAGAAGAAGGAAAGGATAACTCACCCATCATACCCTTTTCATCGCCAGCAACACCGTCGACACCAGCCTTCTCAACATCGCCTGCCCTTCCATCTCTTGATTGCGCGTCTTTGGCAAGTTCCTCATCGCGTATCGCTCCGCGCTCAACGGTGTCCATCTTTTTCTCGGTTTTTGCGAATATCACGCGTTTGAACGTTCACGAATTGAACGCGATGTTTCCCGTAGAAGTAATGATGGCTCGCCTCCGTCACCCGCCAATCAAAACGCAGCAGTGACGTTTTCTTGCCGCCAAGCCGCTAACGGCGGGCGGTGAGGCGAAGTTTGGAAATGACGAACGTGATGGTGTTGGCGATCCTTTTTGCGGATGCAGCATGCGCATTCTTTGGCATGGCATTTCGCGGTGTCGCGTTTGGATAGCTGGTGAGTAACTGGCTGAGCCTATCACATTGCAAGAGATGGAAACGTGTTCTTCATGTCATGGACGGGTGTTGAGGTGTTTGATCCGTTGAGGGTTGCTAACTACTGGTACTCCTAGTACGTCTTTCTCAGCCGAAACTGATATCGACATCTGGAGATAAGAGCTATCCTTCTTCGTTCATTGTGCATGTTTAGCAGTGTGCCATCATCTCGTACCGTGCAAACCGATCCTCCACTTACGAACAAAGGTTCTTGAGACACTTGATCAGGCTGTATCGCGTCTCGCTATCCCAGCCTTCTGGCATGACGTAGCACAAAAACCCATTCATGTGCCTCTCTGGTGCCCACGTCCTCGCCCTCACCATCTCTTGCAGCCAGGCAATGTCCACTGTTTCCACCGTCTTGTCGTAATTCCGAACATCACTAAGGAACCCTAGTTTGCCCCAGGAGGTGATCCGCACGGGGAGACAGTCCTGGTTGAGCTCGATCTCTACCATAAGATCGTGAGCCGCCAGCACGAAACTCAATGAGTCCTCCATCAGAACCAAGACATGCTTCCGGATCTCGCACAGTGTTGTAGTATAGTCTTGGGTCTCACCAAGGCCGCATACGCGAACGATGATCGTAGTATAGGCTGGGAAGACGGAGGTAGCCCGCAGCAGATCCCTTGCGTTGATGCGAACTTTCGCTTGGCTTAGCGGCTTGTCCGTCAGGAATCGTAGAACGATAGTTGGCGCAATTTTATATACCTGAGATGCTGAGATTGGTGTACAGCGCTGCAGTCTGCCCATGTATGGGGGGGGCGTAATAGTCTGCAGTGCGGCGCTCAAGTTTCTCAAACATGGCCTCGGAAGATGAGAGAGTGGCTGAGCCTAGGATGATAACAAAACGGCGTTGTTGATGAAAGTGATGAAAGTCCATAAGCATCATCTTACGGAGGTGGGAGTTGATGTCGAGCATACTGAAACCGAGCCCATGCGAGATACCCGTGTTGAAGTCGTATGTGACCTCATGGTCACTGTACACAGACCTAGCAATGCGTTTCAAGATCTTGGAAGGCAGATCGAGAAGTTTAGGATGGCTCGGCTTAAGTGCGTATCTCTGGGTGTCCTTCGAGAACTGGAATCCCCGTCTGACAACGGCCGTACCATTACTCGATCGAAACTCGATGAATCCTTGCTTGCCGTGCGGAGCCACTTCGACGTCGCTTATTAAACGGCGTGCTTTCATCAACCTCAGCTTGTCCATAGTTCCCAGCTCATATATGACTTTGGTGAGAAGCTTGACGTTAAACCGGGAAGGGTAAGAGGAGGAAAAGGCATGATTGCGATTCCTAATACTCTCGAAACGAACGGACAGATCGCATGCGACTCCACCCCAGAAGACGTCGAGCAACGGCGTGATCTTGATGTTGTTCAGAGAGCACCGGTAAAAGTGGTCCCAGAAATCAAGATCGTCATAATCATCTGGTATATCTGGCATGTCCATACGGATGGTAACAGTACGCAGGTTTGAGAGACTCGATCCGATATCTCGCGTCCATTTCCGATATGCGTCTATCGGAGTGAGGATCTTCCCGTGTTGAAGATGCAGTATCCTGTAGTCAAATCGGAAGACATTTTGACCATATAAAACGCCGATTGCCTCATGATAGATCTGGCGGCAAGTCTGAATGATGGCAGGGCTTCCTGAGAAGCTGCTGGTTTTGATTACCGAGTCATCTGCGTTGTCCACAATCACAATAGGCCTATCGTCGACCAGTACGTATTCGTAGATCTGGTTGCGGATTTCGGCCGGGATGGTGAGGAGCGAGGTTGCAGCCGGATTGCTGGTTTGGGAATACACTTGCGCGATCTGCCCGTGGATGGACTTTGGCAGTGGGAAGTGCATGACGGAGTGAGAGACGGCGCCTCAGCTGCTGAGTAGTGGTGCCGCGGCGGCGACTGGAATTCGTTAGTCAATGCACATACACAACTGCAGTGAGGAAAGAACCTACCGGATGGCTGTTGGCGTAGTTGTATACAATTGCAACACGCGCGGGTGCGGTGTATCGAGTGGCCCTATAATGCGAGGGAAGCGACGATGGTAATGTGAGTCTCGGTGTTCAGGAATTCGCAGTGAGGTTATTGTGCTTAAGCTTGGACCTTGATGGTCCTGATAGGAAAGAGCACCCAGGCAGCAATTGTTTGCACTAGCGCGCTAGGAAGATGCTTCGTGCACCCTATCTACGTCATCCTTTTGCATCCGCACCCAGGTGATGGACAGTCCGCTGGCAGTTATCCTGGACGTTGACGGCGACGCACGACCGCAATTACTGAATGATGCGAGTCAATTAATCTAAGGTACACCGGTCACAACGGCTAGGTGGTGCCGACAAAAGACACGTAGTGTGCAATATCCATGTAGATGTTTCGGAAGTCATGATGAATTATGCGCTTCTAAGTGGAGTGAGATTTTAGTTATAGGGTATGCCCAGGCACATGTGTGCCAAGCAATGTCAGATCAATGCAAAAAGAGAAGTAAATACATGGCAAGAGAACCTGTGTCCTTCCGACCCTCGTGCTCTAGCTTGGTGTCTTTTCGCGGGCAGCTTCGGTTGTGTACACTTTCGTGTAGGATTACCTTACACTTGAGTAACAGAGCCGATAAAGACGCCAAAGAACGGTATACATCGTCTGGTTCTTCCACTCGTCCTGATCGTAGTCATGTTCAGGCCAGTATCGGGCCCTCAGGAATGATTGATCGCTCCTTGGATAATCCAATGGCTTCCACCACCTATAATTGCGCTTATCAAACAACGACGTGAAGTCCTCCGAGTCCAAATTCTTCACGATGACCGCTGCGGAGGACTGCTGATCTTCGTCGACCTTCAGAATGGCAGCTCGCATAGGAACACACTGGCTATCCAAGTCAACCTGAACGCGTAACTTGCGGGTGTCTGCAGCCGTTTGGGGCTCTAGATGCTTCAAAAGCAAGTAGGCGTTCTTTCGGATATCGCCCAATCTTGTAGTGTAGTCTCGGGTTTCGTTATGGCTACCACAAACACGAACAATGATCGTAGTGGTCCCCATGAAGACTGAAGTGACACGCAGAAGATCCCATGCATCGATGTGAACGGCAGCTAGCTGCGGTGACTCTTTTGTATGAAACTGCAAGATGATCGTCGGTGCATTCTTATGCAATACACTCGCTGAGACGGGATGACAGCCTCGCGGTGATTCAATGAACTGTATATCATCCTGCTGGTATATCTCTGCGATTCGACGGTCAAGTCTCTCAAACATTGCTTCGGAAGTTTGGGTGGGATCAGAAGCCAGGATCAGGGTATAGCGGATTTTGCGTAGGAACCACGAACCAACAAGCCTGCGAAGCTGAGTATTGACTTTAAGCATGCCGGGTTGGTGTCCATGCGTGATACCGGTGTGGAAATTGTACGTGCATTCTTGATCACCGAGTGCAAGCCGGATGATAGCATCGGTGATATTTTCGGACAGGTCGAACAGAGTCAGAGGGTTTCGTAAAGAAACGATCTCGCATCTCTGGGTCTCCATAGATAGCTTGAACTGGCGTTGTATGTAGCCTTCGTAACTTGTCGACCGGTAGACAATGGTGCCTTGGCTACCGGCTGCATCCACATAAACACTTCCCAGAAAGCGGCGTGTTTTCTTCAAATCCAGTGAATCTTTACCCCCTAACTCAGACAGAACATTCGTTACGGACGCAACATCAAGCTCTGTCTCCCCAGATTCTGAGTCAGAATCGTCTGGTGCATCGTTCACAAGGTTCTCAAAGCTCTCAAAGATGACTGATGTGTTGCGTGTGTCGCTGTTCCAGAATACATCGAGTAATGGCAAGATGTTTATTCTCTGGCGGGAACACTCCCGCACATCCTTGTCGAAGCCGTAGTCCCTGGACTCCGCAGGAATCATGGGCACGTCCATGTTGATGGTGATAGTGCGCAATCTTGGAAGACAAGAGTCGACATCGTCTATCCACCCTGTGCACACTTCGAGGGGACTATCGATCTCAACGGCGGCCTCGTCCTGGAAGCGTAGATGGTATTGAAAGCGGAAGGAGTTACGGCTATAAAGAATGCCGACTGCTTCGTGGTAGACTTGACGGCAAGTACGAAGAATGGCAGAGCTTCCGCTGAAGTTACTGGTCTTCCTAATCCTGGTCCTCTTGATTCTGGCGATCTGGTTTGAGATGTCCTCAGCGTTCTCGATCGTTATCGGGTTCGGATCGACAAGTAAGTACTCGTAGATCTGGTTGCGTAGCTCAGGTGCGATAGTAAGTAGTGAGGGTACATCCGGTGCCACAGATCCGGAGCACGCTTCCGCGATGCGGCTGCGCTTAGGATCTGGGACTGGAAAGTGCATGGCTGCAGTCCAAGCCAGTGGTTGGACGTAGGTGCGACTGGCGGTCATTAGTAAGTGTACAAATACGATAGCCATGATGAGGAACGGGCTTACTAGATAGCTGCCAGTGCTGTTGCGCACGATCGTGGCGAAGACGATGTAGCGTGCTGCTTGGTTTCTGTACAAGATAACAGAAATGGTACCTAGGTAGAGAGTAGGTGGGTGGCAGAGTCGCTGAAGTCGCAGTGACGCTGTATCGCCAGAGCTTGGACCTCGCTTGTTCTGAAAGGAAAGAGCGACGATGGTTTTTCTCGGGGCGCAAAAGACGTCTCTCACTCACCTGGATTACGTCATGTTGAAGCGACACCTTCAGAAAACGTGATGACAGTGAGTGACTGCAAAACCTGATGCCAAAGGACAAGCGACAATAACTATCGCATGAGAGGACGAGATACCCTGCGGATGGTTACACTTCCAATGCGCGCAGATACCAGCAACATGGGTTGCATCTTCATAACAACAAGACATGCATTCAGCCCCTCAACATCTAAATACGACCCCTCTCCAAGAACTTCTTCGGCAAATCCACAGTCTTCGCACGCATATACTCCATAGCATCTAGCCATCAGTCAGCAAAACACACTTCACGAGAGCCTAGGCCGCACTTACTTTTCCCCAAAGTATCATACGAAGAACACGTATTATACCCCCCATCCCTAAGATGATCATGCAGCAAAAAATGCACCGAGCGTATCCCCGCAATCTCAAACCGGTCAACCGGCTTCCCCTGATACTCGTCCTTACCCAGAAGCTGCTTCATACGCTCAATCGTCATAAACGAGCGCAGCCAATCCCACTCGTCGTCATGGCGCACGAAGAAGCCGCAGTTACAGTCTGAGGCTTTGTCTCCGGAGCGGCCGGCGACGATGTAGCCTAGTGGTGCGCGAACGGTTTCGCCGAAGGAAGATAGATCGGCTGGGTAGGAGGTTTCGTAGGAGGCTTGTTGGCGGGGGTATTCTTTTGTGATGGCTGGTGGGCTGAGGTCGGTGGACGTTTTCTTGCCGTACATGGTGTGAACGCGTAGGGGGAGTTGGTCTTGGGGAAGGAGCGAGACCCAGTAGTCGTAGTAGGGTTTTGGTGCGATCTGGCGCAAGTCGTTCGATAGCGAGAGACCGGGGGCTGATTGGAGGAATACTTCGAGACACCAGCGGTTGAAGCCGTTAGGAATATCGGGTCGTACTAGCTCGGGATCGGAGGTTTGGGCGAAGATGCGGAAGTCGACTGTTGCTACGTCTTGGTTGCGGGCGTCGATTGGTGAAGAGCCGTTTTGGTGGAATCTGAGTGTCTTGAATCGGTTTACGTTGTCGCCCATGGCTGATCATGTTAGTCTCGCGTTGTGTGTGTGTGTGTGTGGAAACAGCGTGTGCTTACCGTAGCGGATTTGGTCTTCAGTAATCTTGCACTTCTCCTCGATATCAAGACCGCATACAAACATATGCCACTCGCATTGCCAGCCAGCTGGAGCGGTAATACCTACCTTGGTTGTAGGTGGCGGAGGAAGGCCCTTGACTCCTGTGACACGCACAAGATCCTCGCCTACTTGCTCCATCTTGACGTCCGTGATATCAGCCGTAACATCACAGTTATAGTACAGCGGTCCCTGGATCTCGTATAGTAGCTGCGAAGTGCATGTTCCGACAGTCACGCAACCTGTATGCGTTAGCGGCGTACATCTCCAGCTTAAGGTACTGGTACCTACCTCCGGTATCTTTCTCTTTCGCAATATTGAAGCTACCGTCGTATTCAACCTCCGCGATAGGGAAACCCATGTTGATGTGCTTGCCAGTCTTCATGAGATCTTTGAACATGGAGTAGTATCCTCCGGTAACATAGGCTGAGCATTCAACTAGATGGCCTGCAATGAGCGCTCCGGCAAGTTCGTCAAATTGATCGTTCTTCCAGTCATGCCACCACCTGCTCACGTTAGCTGAGGTCAAAAATCCATTGTTGTAACTTACGCCGCAGCACCAATGACCGGCGCAGCATCTGCAAGCCTTCCACCAAGCACAATATCAGCGCCCTGTCGGAAAGCCTCTGCTATGCAAAGTCCACCCAAGTACGCCTGTGCGCAGATTGGCTCCATTCCCCATTCCTCAAGCTTCTTGCCATGCATTAAGCTTTCGAACTTCTCTCCCTTTTTGACAAGACTGTTGACCTGTCCAGTCACATCGTCTCCTTCTATCCATGCCACTTTGAGGTGACCAGCACCCGCTTTCTCCAACATATCGACTACAACTTCAGCGAGAAGTTCAGTATCTGAAGCACCAGCATTCACCGCGAGCTTCGTCTTGTTCTTGACTAGATTTGGTATCGCTGGCTCGAGGCATTGGATGAAGGTATCGGCGTACATGGCGTTCTTCTTCCGGTCTTCGAGGCTCGTCGTGCCATTGGTGCTCTTCGTAGGCTTCTGCTTTACTTTGCCGCTACCATGTACGGTCATGGTCATTTCGGATAGCCAATCGCCTGTTCGTGTCAGCTCGAAGTCCTCCATAGCCAGCTTTCAGGGGAGTCTTACCCATCACAACATCAACTTCCGGATCACCAGCCATACGCATAATAGCAGTCGAACGATCCGTAAACCCTCCCGAGCATCCTGCGATGCGCACAGCGCGCTTGCGGTCAGTAGAAGGAGACATTTTCACTCGTTTGGGGTTCGGCGCCATGTATGTCTCGTAGTCAATCTAATAAGGGATCAATTGCTCCATAACGGAGGGTCTCAAAGCTATATACCAGGCCGTCCAGGACCGGCTTTCCGGGGTACGGCAAGCCATCGAGGCTGTTGCAGGGCCGTTACCTCGACATCGTCCAATGGCGGCTATGCATAAAGGTAGCGCGACACTCATGTCATGTCCTGGGAGCTACTTGCGGATAATCTTGAACGATGGAAGACGATTTCCTGAGAGCTTATGGCGGGGTTGCGGGGAAGGAGACGGACGCGAGTGCGCGGTGCTGCTGAAGGCCTAGGAAACATTTTGATCGTGGTATGACCGAAGCTATACATGGAACATGGTTAATTTCAATTGAAATGTTGGTTTGCGTACCAAAAGGAGCGTGCTTGCCTTCCGTGAGTTGGCAAAGTAGAAGAGGAAGCGTGACGCGCGATGTTCGCGATTCGGCTAACGAGTCATTTTGGCCAGCGATGAGGTTCTGTATGACTCGTCGAGTGTGTCCAGCCTCAGGGAAAGAGCGCTCCGCACCATCTTAGGTTTAGCAACGTCACCTGTGTACCCCCGCGAAGAAGAACAAACTGATTGAAGCTGTCTATACATTGTATGCAGAGACTATACACATATTCCAGTCTCCCAACCATTCAAGGTGCCAAATTCTCAATCACCAACCAAACCCCCATCTTTCCCTCTCCTCCCTTCTCAGACCCTTCTCGCGCTTTCCCACCAACCGCCATCCCCTTCACCCCCCTCTTCTCCCTCTTCATCTCCTCCCTCGCCTCCCGCCACTCCCTCTTCACAGCCAATCTCTCCTTCTTCAACTCCTTCCTCTGCACTTTGTACTCTTTCTTCGCAGCTTTCCATTCCGGATCCTTCTTCGCTTTCTTCTCCGCTTTGCCTTTGCCCTTGGTGTTGGTATCAGCGTGTTTGGCTTTCAATTCACGTTTCTTGGCGCGGTGTTGTCTCTTGAGCTCGCGGTTTCGCTGCTTGATGTTGCGGCGCGCGAGTTTGAGGGATTGGGCTTTGGGGGTTGGGGCAGGGGTGAGGTCGGAGTCGGAGTCGTAGTCGGAATCAGAGTCTGATGAGGAAGAATCAGAGCTATCTGATGATATTGAGGAGGTGTCGTCGTCGTCATCCAGGTCCTTGACTGCAGCTTTGCCCTTATCTTTCTTGTCGGTGGGGTATGCCGTGTCGATTTTGCGGTCGCCGTATAGCACGCCTGTTTCTTGGCCCGGTGGCGTATCGTACGCAGGTGGTAGGTCGTTGTGGACTTGCTCGTACGAGGCAGGACCTGAGGTAGTAGGCCCCCTATTCCCACTTACACTCACACCTCCACCTGCATTTCCACTAGCCATCCTACCCACCTCCACCCCGAAAGCACTAGCGCGTTTACCAATCTCAACACCCAAATCACCCATATGTTTACCGAACTGCTCCCCAATCTTTCCTAATTCTTTGCCTACTTCTGCCCACTCGTTTCCGGATTGTGGTGGTCCTCGTCCGCGTCCATGTCCGCCACGAGAGGAGCAACCTCCTCTACCGAAGAAGGCGTTGCCTCGGGGCCCGAATGGTCCTCGACCGCCGCGCCCGAAAGGCCCATTGCCAGGTGTACCAAAAGGTCCGTTGCCAGGTGCACCGAAGGGGCCATGGCCTGGCATACCAAAGGGCGACCAGTGACCGCCTCGTCTGCCGCGAGGATGATGACCGCCCCGTCCATGTCGACCATGTGCGTGTGAAGACTCCTCTGGAGGTCCAGGAATGGAGCGAGGTGGGTCTTCATATGCTCCAGCAGATCCTCGCGCCCTATTATGCGACGATGTGTTTCCAACATGATCAGGCGAGCCAGTAGCCGTCTGATGACCCGAGAAACGTTCACTCATCTCATGCAACTTGAGCACTCTCTCGCTCGGCATCGGCACTGCGTCCGCGTCGAGAGCTTCGATCCAGGGGTATAATTGCCTCGCGCGCCATTCAGCCGTTGCAGTCTTATCGGCCAAGTTGGCGAGAACGGTGGGTTTGTGGCCCGCAGGTATAGGTAGCATGTCTAGAAGCGCAGTCTCGCTGCGGAACGACACAATCAGACCTCTCGGCGCGAAGAAAGCTTCATTCGCTCCTCGAATATAGTCGTGTACGATGCTGGAAGAGAGTCCTTCATGCGTCGATTCGTGTAGCAAATCCTCAGCCGTCGTGTTTGCCGCTGTAGTCAGGACCTGTAGACCGTACAAGAACTCTGCAAACTCGGCTGGCTTGATGGAATGCCGGTCCAACACTTCAGCATACGCAACCAAGAAGTATACGTGTTCGTCTACACGTCTTGCCGGTCCTGCATGGTCGGGTATCGCGATGATGCGGTTTAGATGCGGTGCATACTGCGCCTTAGCATCTGGTTCTTCACGGCTAAACTCCAGAGCTTGGGTGAGCAAGTCAGAAGCCAGATCGGGCTGTTTGCTCGACGAAGAAGCAGGTTCGCTATGCACTCGTCCCACTGCGATGTTCTCACTCGTACTGACATGCTGGACTGGAACACTGGTGGCCTTGTCGTTTGTGTGATTCGCATAGTCTGGTGCTTGTTCCCGTTCACTTGCAGGATCTGGTTCTTCGCCTCTTACACGGTACTCCCATACTTCTGGCTCGTTTGGTCCTTCATTAGCAGTGATGCGGTGGGCTTCGATTTGGCTGGGATCTACGGGCGCGATGCCATGACGCGTGTCGTGGACGGCTTGGTCCCGCGCCTCGTCGTAGGATGGTGGCAAATCTTCATACTGTGGACCTCCTGGGCTGTGAACAGGAGTGGGCTCAAACTCGTTATCGGAGGAGTCGGCGATTGAGGTTGCGCTTGGTGTGAATGCGACGTTGGACTGTGATGGGGTTGATGGGGGTGGTGGGTTGGATGTGAGGTTTGGGTTGGCGGGGTATGACGGTGGGCCGGCCATAGTTGAAGTAGATCACAAAAGCCAGTATTGATTCAATGTGACGATGTAAAGTAAGATGTGGAACTTAGAGAAAGCGTACTTAAGGTTGAGGCGTAAAGGACGAACTAGAAGCTTGTTTATTCGTACCTACTCCACTGACCTGCACAGCCTCACAGAAAGCTACTGCCTTCAGATGCGGGGAGATGCCCAATCGCAACTTCCAACTCAAAACCACGCGTTCTGTCTAGCAATATTCAACGTCCAGTAAGACGACACAGCTTGTCAGATATGACGCGTGGGCAAGAGGGCCGCAGCTGCGCAGCACTTGAGTTGGGAAACGGTGTGAGAGAGTGGGGCTGGCCGTGGCGTAAGCCTCGGGCGTCTCTGTGGCCAAAGAGCCAATTACAAGGACCACTTCCGGCACACTAAGATGTCAGGGCTGAGAGAGCGCATCATGTGTGTTACGGTAAAGTATGTAAGATTCAGATATGTTGGTGAAGTGCGCGACGTCAAGTATAGCTTTGGTCTTTCCCCTTCCACTTGTGTCGGACTTGTGCTCGGCCTAACAACACGGCCGTAAGGTCCACACGCGATATCTAGGTTCAACTCGCTTTCGGCGTGAGAGTGATCGCGTTACGGTTACCAAATCTACTAAACAACACGATTGTTGCGGAGTCGATTGCGATCGCTGTGTTGGTCTGAAAAGCAGGTGGCGAGAAACATACGCAAAGACGCATCATCACGACTAGCATTATGGAAGACGCTCCCACTGTAGCAGTCATAGGACTAGGTAGAACACCTCTTCCTTGACACAACGAAGCCACTAATCTCGCCTCTCAGGACCGGCTGGCCTCGTAGCATTGAAGAACCTGCGAGAAGAAGGATTCCACGCCACAGGTTTCGACCGCAACGACCACGTCGGCGGATTATGGCAGTACTCAGAGAAAGAGCAAACGTCGGTAATGCAAACCACAACCGTAAACGTCTCAAAAGAGCGGTCGTGTTACACTGATTTTCCTTACCCGGACGACGTACCGTCACATCCAGCGGCTACGCAGGTTCAGCAATACTTGACAGACTATTCGAAGCATTTCGGATTGGAACCTTATATGCGGCTTAGTACTGCCATCGAGCAAATCACGTTTGATGATGAGCGAGAGAAATGGGTTGTAGATGTGAAAGGTGGTGGGAAGGAGTACTTTGATAAAGTCGTTGTAGCGATTGGGGGTATGGTTGGTAAGGCCAGTCTGCCAGTCATAGAAGGCGTGGAAAAGTTTGCTGGACCTAGTGTTCACTCACAAGCTTTCAAGCGGCCGGCAGACTACAAGGGGAAGAGAGTCATGGTTGTAGGGTTCAGCAACAGTGCGGCGGATACATCTACTCAGCTGGTGGGAATAGCAGATAAAGTGTATTTGGCACATCGGCATGGAGCTCGGGTTGTAAGTTGAAGCGTACCTTGTTGATGTGCAAAGGTCTTGAGACTGACAATGGTTCTTGTAGTTCCCGCGGCGCATAAAGGGTGTCCCGATAGACCACACGCACAACCTACGTCTCGCCACCTTCCAAAGTCTCGTCATAACATACTTCCCTCGCCTCGGCGAGTTCCTCTTCGATAAATTTCTCAAGAAACTGCAAGACCAGAGTTTCAACATCCGCCCTGAATGGCGCTTCGAGCCCGCAAGTAAGGTACCAGTGGTATCTGATACGTTAGTCCCCTGCCTCGAGGACGGCAGCATCACATCAGTCGCAGGCATCAAACGCATTGTGAATGCTACTGAGGTAGAGTTGCAAGACGGGACAAGGGTTGACGTGGACGCAATAATCTGGTGTACGGGCTACAAGTCCGACTTCAGCATGATCGAGCCGCGTTTCAATCCTGAATGTCGGCCTCAAGCGTGGCTCGACGCGCCGGGCTCGAATGGGAAGTCGCTCTTCCGTCTCTACAAGAACGTGTTTTCACTCGAGAAGCCGGATAGTCTGGCGTTCATGGCTGCTGTACACATCACGATTAGTGGGTTTAAGATTTTCGGTGAGCGACTCTAGGTATGATGGTTAGGCGAGACATGTGCTGACGACGACTAGACTTGACAACCATGGCTGTAGCCCAGGTCTGGGCGGGCAAATCCTCTCTACCCTCACTTCCTGACATGAAGCTCGCTGTGGATGAACACCACGTACGGTTAGCAGAGACGGCAAAGCGTGTTTACAACTTGTCGCCAGGGCAATGTGAGACGGGTGATTGGGTCGCGGCCATGGACGATCTTGCCGGTACGGGTGTCAATGAGTACCTGGGATACGGGTGGAAAGGCTGGCTGTTTTGGCTTCAGAACAGGAAGTTCTGCAACCTGCTGATGGGTGGGATATGGAGTCCGCACATACATCGCGTGTTCAGCACAGGCAAGAGGAAGTGCTGGGATGGGGCGAGGGAGGCGATTGAGAGAGTAAACGAGAGTGTTGCTAAGATGAGGAAAGAAGGAAAGGAGAAGAGTGGTTGACGACAGCTCGGGGTTCTGGTTCGCGAAGGTGCCAGGGCGTGCTCGAATGTTCTCTCATGAGCTTCCCCACACATGACGACAGGCTGTATCACGAGGGTCCATGACTGTCACTTTTTGCATGGCGCAGTACATATGCCTCGCGACGAATATCTCGAATATCCTCTATAGCTACCGACTCGAAATAAACATTATCGCATTCTTACACGGCCATTACAGTTGTCCAGGTGACGTGAAAGGGTAAACCTTGGTCGGCATACCACAAGGCTGACAGTCAACCAATCGCAGCACGGGCCGTTGCACAACAGCTGGGGAAGGCGCGACGGGCAACAGCCAATCTCGATTTCTTTCCACACGCCACGCCGCACACACTGAAACACGTCAATCGCTCGTTATATGGGCAGAGGCATTGTCTGCACCGGAACACACCACGCGAATCGCTTCCATCCAAACATCCACGAGCCCGGAATGGCGACGCAGACGCTGCACGGCTCCTGCGCGTGCGGACGCAACCGCTATGTCATTGAGATGCCGACACAGCAGATTCGCCAGGCCGAGCTGCGATACGACAATACCTCTGCGTCACGTAAGTACACGCCGAGTGTTGTGCAGCCCACATCTGCTTTGGGTTGCCGCGCGCTACTCTCCAACACGGTGCTAACAACACTACAGGACACCACTCAGCGAACCCCCTCACACTCTGGCTCCGCGTCCCTCTGCCATGGTACACCTCGGCCACGTTTGCCCAATACCCCGACGAAACGCGCCTGAGCATCAAGCGCAGCTTCGTCAACCCTTATACCTCGAATACCCGCCGTCAGTTCTGCGGATACTGCGGCACACAGCTCTCGTCATGGAATGAGCGGACGCGAGACGAGGCCGAGCACATCTCCCTGACCGTCGGCAGCCTGCTCGACGAGGATCAAGACATGCTAGGCGAACTCGGCTTCCTGCCCAGCAGCAGCGAGAGCAGCGACGACGAGGACGAGACATCCGCCGCCGGACCCTCACGGACAAACCGCTCGCGTACAGTCGTCCGCTCAGAACCTCAATCGCGAGGTGCGCCCTGGTTCGAAGAGATTGTGCGCAACACCCGCCTGGGCCGCTTCAAGCAGCAACGCGGCGGACACTCCGAGAGCGGCGTGCACGTCGAGTGGGAAGTCACCGAGTGGACCGAGGGCGACGACAACGGCGACGAGGGCAGCGCGACGCCTAGCAAGCGGAAGATTGGCGACGTGGACGATGCCGAGGATACCGAGATGCGCAGCGCGTGAGCCTACTTTCTTTCACACGGAATGAGCTGGATTGAAGACGGATTGAATATGTCACTAGAAACGGATATCGCTCACGCGTAAATGAGGACGAAACGTATGTAATCACTGGACCTCTGGCAGAGCGACATGACATGGGATACGGAGTTGAAGGTGCGTTTGTTTATTTTGTGTACAGTATCTAAGAAATATAGCCATAGGAAGGCTGTAGTGACATGCGCTATATGCTATATTTTCTGTTTTGTAGTTGACCCTATTACGCGGTAAACACAAAACAGGAAATATAGCATATAGCGCATGTCACTACAGCCTTCCTATCCGGCGCATGTCACCTAAAAAGCTGTGGTGACAATGCACTGGACCAATCTACTTTCTTTTTCGCTGAAGACATTTGTACTTCCCGACCGCACAGCCCTTGTCAGCGTATCACGCCTTGTTTCTCCATGGATCTCAATTTACGCCCCAATGTCGCTGCATCGCATGGTGTCAAGTCGCACGACCAATGGAGCCGATTAGGATGCGTGGGGTATAGCACGGGCGTAAGCGGCTCGATCATGGCGCCGTCTTCCGACCTGTGGACGACACCCATCATACCACCATCTAGGCGCTAATATGGGGAGAGCAGAACGAGAAACCGTCGCATCTCAACTCGATTGTTCCACTAATCTTGAGAGTCTGGAAAAATACATCCTAACAACATCTCCCGATCCACCTCCAAACCTCCAAACTCGTCGGAGGTAATCACTTATCTCGCCTTACGCCACCTCGTTACACAAGCCATGCAAGATATCTCCGCATTCCCCAAGTCGCAGCATATCCGCCTATCTCCCGGGATGCTCTCTCCACCAAACCTCACTACCCCCTCCCCATTGGTCAATATTACGTTCCTGCACCACATTCCCGGGATCGTTGGTTATCTTACACCCCTGGCCACCTCGCTCGCCTGAGGTTCTCTTATCAGTTCGACATGCGACACAACGTGATTAGTGTTCCCTGATGTCTGATATCCGTCACCCGTCTCCACGGTATCCATTCCAGCTGCGGGAGTGCGGAGATGGTCGGATGCTCGCACATTGTACTATAGCATGTAGGTCAGACTTTTTTGGGATGGGTTTGCTTCGCTGGGGCTGGCTTTTGGCGTGACGGCCGTGACCGGGGCGTAGAGACGGCATCTAGCACTGGGCTATGGGTACACTTAGTGCGTACGGAAGTCGCATGGTTGCTGGTAGGGCTGCTTTATCTGCCCGTCTTGGAAATGTTGTCGCGTCGCTTAGCATACGTACTTACGTGTAGATGTCACTGGTATGTTTGACACAACTCAACGTAACGACAAAGATAGAGGCGTGCGAAGTCGCGGGCCGTCATAAGAGTAAGACGTGAATTGCACATTTCCTTCATTCTTCCTCTGTGTCGTTACACTCTTCTCAGCTAGATTCATCGTCCTTTCTTTCGCCATCGTTCTTTGCTTCCTTATCTCTTGGGCGGGACGTTTGCTTGTACGATTCCCGCGTAGGTCCGTTTGATCTGCGATCGACACGGCGAATCCACTCGATTGCTCACTCGCTTGGACTTGATCGATTGGTGGTATTAATCTCCGGTTGGCCGTGTCTAGGCAGAGAGGACGGTTGTTGTTGTTGTTACGTGGGTACTTATCGGGTTTTGCATATCCTCGTCATCGACGACCTCTTGCATACACATCGCATCGCAGCGAAACGTATCAGCCGATACAACATTGCAGCTGGCACGCTGTACCATCACTTTCAAGGATGGATCTGGAAAAGAAGTCTGCTGAGAAGCCAAGACCGGAGGATATCGATGAAGCGACAGGCGTTGGCGAAGTCCTGAACGCGTCGGGTCACAAACAGGAACTTGAGAGGAATTTCAGTTTGTTGAGTATCTGTGCGATTGGAATTACGACGGGGAATGTTTGGGCAGCGTTGGGAGGGTCCATCGTACGTCTACCTTCTTCTCTGGTACGAATTCATGGGATAGAAGATGCTAATCTAACTTAGGTCATTGCGCTCTACAATGGCGGCCCAGCAGGTGTCATCTACGAATTTATCGCCGTGGCATGTTGCTACTTCATGATCGCGGCGTGTATCGCGGAGATGGCATCTGCAATCCCCTCATCAGCGGGTGTATACCACTGGGCTTCCGTCACAGGCGGAGCCAGATTCGGGAAGGTAATCGGTTTCTACGCTGGCTGGTACGTATCACCCAACCTAATCCAACAAACGAAATGATACAAGAAACGAGCACAACTAACACACCACAGGTGGAATGCTCTAGGTTGGATCTTCGGCACAGCATCCATCTCCTCCATCCTCGCCAACCAAATCATCTCCATGTACGGCCTCTTCCACCCCGGCTACGCCTTCGAGCGCTGGCACGTCTTCATCGCCTACCTCATCATCACCTGGCTCGCCTGCTTCGTCGTCATGTTCGCTAATCGCGCGCTGCCTAAACTAACAAACATCGGTCTCTTCTTCATCCTCATGGGTGTGTTCGTTACCATCATGGTCTGCGCCATCATGCCTAGTAGAACCGGAAAAGGGTACGCGACCAACGAGTTTGTGTGGAAAGACTGGCAGAACCAGGCGGGGTGGAAGAGCGATGGATTTGTGTTTTGCGCGGGCATGTTGAATGGGGCTTTTGCTGTGGGGACGCCGTGAGTTTTAACCCATCCCATTCCATGGACCCATCGATCTCAAATCCACCACGGTCAAATTCAAAGTCGATATACTAACAACCACTCACAGCGACTGCGTATCCCACCTCGCCGAAGAACTCCCCTCCCCCCGCACCAACATCCCCAAAGCCATCCTCGCCCAATACACCGTCGGTTTCCTAACCGCCCTCCTCTACCTGATAACAATCTTCTACGCCGTAAACGACCTAGACAGTCTCTTCTCAAACCCCTGGCCCTTCCCCCTCGCCGAGCTATACCGGCAGGCCACCAACACGCACGGCGGCTCCCTCGGCCTCTTACTCGTCATCTTCGTCCCGACATTCTGCACGAATATCGGGTGTTATATTACCTCCGGCCGCATGCTGTGGACGCTGGGCAGAGATGACGCGACGCCGTTTAGCAAGTGGGTGGGCAAGGTGGATAGGAAGTGGGAGAATCCGTTTAATGCGACGTTGGCTTGTGGGGGTATCAACACAATCCTCGGTTGCATATATATCGGCTCCAGCACCGCGTTCTCCGCCTTCGTAGGTTCCTTCATCGTGCTATCGTCGATGTCGTACCTCGCGTTCATCCTACCCAACATCCTTACTCGGCGCCGCCACGTTATCTCAGGCCCGTTTACGATGCCCACGCCGGTGTTTTATACGGTGGCGAGTATAGCGTGTGGGTATATGGTGGTTTGGATACCGATATACTGTTTCCCGTTCGCGGTACCGTTTGATACTACGACGATGAATTATACGAGTGCTTTGGTGGGCGGGGTTACGATTTTACTTGGGGGCTGGTATGTGTGGATAAGGAAGAGGGGGTATGTTGGGCCGAGGCGGTTGGTGGAGACGTTGGGGAATGGGGAGACGACTATTGCTGGGGTGGAGGGGAGTGTGGCTGAGAAGGTTTGAGCGCGGGATGGGCGTGTACATAGGGATGTATCGATATGAGAATGTTGTTATGATTGACTCAAAATCTGAAAAAGATTTACTTTTGTGCCCCTGCAAAAACCGGACTGAATGAAGGGGAATCGCACTACCAAAGTACCTGCCATGTCGTCCGACTAAACCCAACAATCTGACTAAACGCCTCATCTCTCTTCTCGACTTCATGCAAGATCCATTCATCGCCTTCCCGATTCAGAAAACGCAGATCCCTATCACACTCCTTGAGAACCTTGATCATTCTCTCCTGATATCGGTCTTGCTTCTCCAGATGGTGGATCTGTACATATGGCAGCGAGAAGCGGACATCATGTGGGGGACGTTTTGCGACAAAGCGCACTCCTGTAGCGTTGATGATGAGATGGCCTGGTGTTTTCTCGTAGTGGGAGGGGTAGGATGCAAAGTCTTGGTTTACCGGTGAGACGGGAGTAGAGGAACTAGCCGTAGTTGCCAGTTCGGCTGCTTTGTCAATGGTGTTCTGCTTCTCGGTGACTACACGGAGGCCTTCGGCTTGTATGTACTGGATCGCCCACTCGGCGTGCGTTGGAATGTTCCAGAGCAACCGTTTCGAGGGCGAGACGAGAAGACGGTAGTTCGGGAAATTAACCGAGACGGGAAAGAGGCAGAAGAATGTGAAGCCGGCGGAGAAGGTGGACATCTTGATGAGCAGCCAAAGTGGCGTGAAGACCGTGGCGACAATTGCAAGAGCCAGAATGATGATGACAGTCAGTGTACGTGTCGGTTTTCGCCACTCGTAAAAGTTGCGAACACTCTCGAAGAAGTTAGCCAAATCGGCTAGTTGGACGATTAGCCAAGGTCCCAGATCTTGGAGAAGGTCGTGTGCCCAGTTCTCGTCACCTTGTTTCTCAATGAACTCGGTCAGTGATAAGGCTGTTCTCTCCACATCTTCCCTGTGTTTGATGTCTTCGCGAAGGTCTTCCATGGACGGAGCATTCCAGCGTCGCTCGCCAACCAGATACAGCAACGCTGTCATGACACCGGGTAATAGCAGATTGAAGTACCAGAGTATGAGGTAGATCGCTAGGTATTTCGTTGTCTCGAGTGGATACTCCCAGCGATATACGCGACGGGTAGTCATGATGAACTCCTGGAAAGGCGATGTTGCAACGATCAGGCGCTCGATGTTCGGCATGATGGTTTCTTTGCTGGGAGTTGGCGGGTCGGATCCGTAGCCTATGTACTGGCCACCATATCGATGAGCGTAGTAGTCCAGTAAGTGCGAGCTATATGCTTTCCAGTCAGTGACAGTACGGCCCGCGTCATCTTTCTTCTCGAAATCCTTTCTGGGCTTGAGGACGGCAGTGTCTCGTGGAATGATTCTAATCTTCGTCACATGTCGGTCGAGTGACCATCGCACATAAGTGCTTTGTCGTTGGTCAAGCATCTCAGCGAGACTTTGCTGGGCTTGCGCCTTCTCGTCCTTAGTTGCAGCCTGGTCCAATATAGTCGCTGCATTGACCAAATCTACTTCCTGGCCATGAGGAACTTCGCTTACAGCTATGTTCGCTGCAACCTCTTGGTTTCCTAGAGTTTGTAAGTTAGTAAAGCGCTGGGTATGTGTTGACTGAGGATTTGCTCGACCTAGCACATTGAGATCATACGTAGTATTCGTCACTTCTGCATGCGCAGGTGAAACAAGAGTCGCTTACCTTGATTCCATCCCTTAGACTTGACCGTATCGATAGGGTTATGCAAAAGGTCCTTAAGTGTGTGCTTCTCTGCCGCCGTAGACTTGTGGTCAAGACGTGACTTGGACTGCTTCACCTCCGTCGTATCGACAAGTACCACAGCATCTGGATCAGGCTCTTCGATCTCATCTTCGGCTTTTGCGATATGCAAAGTCTTCCTGATCTTCACACCGGCAGTGTGTTTCTTCTGCCGAACCTTGTTGACTATCCTAGTAGTAGATGATACAGGTGATGGGTCGCGTGGGTGAGGTGTGTCGTCATTGCTGCTTTCGGAGCGACTTCCGCTTATCTCGATTTGACCTTCATAGGTAATGTGTGAGCGATCGAGTCCAATGTGCAACTCGTCGACCTGAACGAGCTCCTTGTCGATGTCCATGGTGGCGCTGGGCCTCGGTTAGTCGCGCGCGACGTGCGCAGGCTAGATTAGCAGATGTATATCAACGTGACAATGTCGCATTCAATACGATTGCGTTTTGATGATATTCCGTAAAGATTGTTATTCTCAGGTGAGTCTATAGGCGCTGACGTCGCCCCGTTCTCCAAGCTGCTGGTTGCGTTTGCTCATCGAACAAGCACCGCGGAGCACAGGGCGGCGACGTCATCGCGTCAGCCGTGACCAGCAAAACGAACCCGTGGCGTGAATGAGAGGCGCGAGCTGGCGAACGCAAAATTGCTCACTGCCTAGAATGTCGCGACGGTATGTTGGTGTTCTAACGAAGTCTAGAACCTTCCAAGGTTGTCAGAACCCTGATAGCCCTGGATTCCTGGATGGCGAATCTATCGACAGGGAAAGTGCGTACAACCCTGAGGCGGGGCAAGGCTGAACACCCCAGCAACTCAACATGAAGCGGCTGGCACTGTATTCAATCGCAACAGAGTGATTTCAAATGCATGACCATCTTCCTATCAAGGTACATGTGAGTATCTAGACTCATTCTCGACCAGGATGTATGGTCTCCGCTCTAGCATCGAACAATTAGACAAAAACACTACCCAGTCTCCATCGTCCGCGCTCAGCCCCTACATGTTGTATTCAGGCCTCTCCCAAAACCCACAAGCCTCTACATCACAAAGACTAACCCTAAGTCCATCATCCTCCCAATCCGCCAAAAAGCTTGTCAGTCGACCTATATCCGTCTCGATACCCAACAGACCCAAGCTCTGTTCCTCAATCTTTTTTGCAATCCGCTGCCACGCCCTCCCATGGGAGGCCCAATTCTCTCGTGTCACACACCGTGGACATGCATATTGGTCCAAGAAAACATGTAGCATCTCGTGTAGAACAGATCCCATGCGTTCTTCCGCCAAAGTCTTGCCTTGGCGCTTGTTCTCTAATTGTGTGTAGCAGCGACGTGTTGGATGGAGACGGATGCGTGATTGACTCTGACCGTCTTTGAGTTCTGTGATTGCGTCCGCTAGGAGTGGTTCGTCATCTAGATCCTTGGCGTTCCAGACTGTTTCTAGGTTCTTGATTGCGCCGAAGAAGAAGATTTCGTTGAGTTGGGAGACGAGCCAATCTGTCAAGAACTGGGTGTCTTTGCTGCGAATGTCGTTCTGTGCTAGCATCTCGAGTACGCGGGTACGCTCGTGGTTTTTGCGCCATTGAGCAAGGGCGGCGACCTGGTTGGTGTCCATGGTAGATTCTGAGCGGGAGAAGTACCCGATGGTGCGGTTTGCCAACGACAGGCTTTCGTAAGTGCTATCTTCGCACTCGCGGATTAGGGTAGGTCGCGAATTGGGTTGAAGGACGATGTCGTCTTCGTGGTGCTTGGCCGAGCATGAGTAAGGCCATTTGAAATAAAGCTCCTTTGTATGCGAGTCACAGGAGCATTGGACGTGGAATTTTGACTTGATGAGACGGGCTCCGAGCATAGTTCGATCCTCCTTGATCCGAGAAATCCGTGAAGGCCGGTTTGCGGAGATATCTGTCTGAGGCCCCTGACTGTTCGTCTTGCACTGATCGCAGTGGCATGGGACCACAGGAAGCTGTGTCGCGGTCTCAGCGACGGGCGGGGTTGCGGAAACATCGTGCTGTGATTCCTGGCTACTCTCTTTGGGATTGTTGGTGTGAGTCTCTACTGTGGTATTCACAACGGACTGATTAGTGAAGGTATCGACCTGAGACTGCCGAGCACTCTCCTCTTTCTTTCCAGGATGAATCGTAACCTGAGGAGTCTCGGGTTTAGTCTGCGCAACCAAGGACACTGGTTGAGTCTTCAGGCGTGAATCAGACCACCGTAGGTACTCGAAAGTCACAACCGAACCTGCAGTGATAGCTGCCAATATGACGACTAGCTGAGTTTGAGTTTTGTCCATGGTTGAATTAGGGTTGTAAGTGACTGGAGGGATGTAGAAAGGCGAAGCTCGAACCGCTTATGTAGAAACCTACCTAGTTTCTCTGCTTGTTCACCGCCGCGTTGGGCTACATGGTTGCTGGTGGTTAAGGGTTCTCTTACTTTGCTGTTGTAGGTGTACATGGATGCCCAAGTGACATTGTACACTACACAATTGAGAGACTAGATAAAGGCTCTGCCTGTTTCGTAAAACGCTTGTACTTTGTATATTTTCATGGTGTGAAAGTGATTGCCTGGCTGATGGTCGAGTTCGATGCGACCAAGACTGCTTTCGCAAGGTATCCGCCTATTTGCACAATGTCCCGACGAATGCATGAATCGCAAGCAAGATCGAAATTTTGACCCTCGAGTAAGGATACACTGCCAGTAGAAGCCATTAGTAGATGAAGGAGTATCAGCGCCGTTGTCTTGAACCGCTTTCGGGGCTATTGCGCTACTCATCGACGGTTGTGATGTACGTATGAACGAGATGATCAGCGAACTGTGTCTGAAGAAGGAGAGAAGATGTCTTTGACTTAGACTAGAGCCTATTCTTGGTTCGGGCAGACTTTTTCCTACTTCCACATCGACCACACAGACGAACCCACGTGCACTTCATCCACAAGCAACGAGCACTATTGAAAAAGATCTTGTCAAAATACAATCCGGTCAAGTACTTCATACAAAAAACTACAATAGTAACCTATGCCGTCTAAAAACGCTTTCACAGCAATCATCTTACTATGCACATATTTCCTCTCTCCTCCCTTCCTCCTTCCCCTTTCTCCCTCTCACTCTCGGTCCGATTATGAAAGCATCCTGCTCATATCATTCCTAATCCTGTTGTAATCGAGCAGACCCTCGATCTGACCCACAGCCGAGACAGCAACGTCCTTGTCCCACAGCCTGTTGCGGGCGAATTGCATAACGTCCTTCTCTGTGATGCGGCCTACGACGCGCTCCACTTCCTCGGGTGATAACCGGCGGCCGGTGGTGACGATTTGGCGGCCAATGTCCTCGGCAACGGCGGTCGTGCCGTCGAGGGCGAGGAGGATCGAGGCCTTGAGTTGGGCCTTGGCGCGCTCGACTTCGGCGGACGTGACGTTCATGGAGAGGCGGGACCACTCGCGGAGTGTGAAGTGGACGAGGTCGTCGAGCTGCGTAAGGTTGGAGCTGGTGAGGTAGATTCCCCAGAGACTAGGTTTGTTAGCGAATATTTATGGTATCATTCCAGTATGACGTACCCAGTGTCGGAGTAGCTGGTGGAGAAGCTCATGAAGCTGTTGGCGAGGGCGTTTTGCGAGACAAAGTTGCTGAGCTTGCTGCCAAGGTAGTCGGATGTACCCATGGCACGGTCCCAGTTACCGACGATAGCCTGTGTGACGAGCGCGGTGAAGTAGTCGGGGTCGCTCCAGCTGACACCCTCGACGGCAATGGCGATGTTGGCGGTGCCCATGGTGTCGTCACGGAGACGGACCTCGGAGCCGATGAAGTCGGGCTTTGCCTTTTGCTCAGCAGCGGCGGACTTGGCGGAGTAGTCCTGGGGCTCTGAGGGGAGGTTGGCGAAGTACTTCTCGGCGAGGTCGACCAATTGCTCGTGGGGGATGCCACCAGCGCCAACGAGGACCATGCGGTCAGCGGTGTAGTTGGTCTTGATGTAGTTCTCGAGATCGGCGCGCTGGATGCTCTGGATGTTCTCCTTGGGTCCGAGGATGGTGCGACCGAGGGGCTGGCCCTGGAAAGCGGTGGCGTGTAGGTGGTCGAAGACGACCTCCTCGAGCTGCTTGTCCACCTCTTCCTGTTCGCGGAGGATGACATCACGCTCGCGCTCGATGGCCTGGGCCTCGAGCTTGGAGTTCTGGAGGATATCGGAGAGAATGTCGACGGCGGCGGGGACATCGTTGTTGAAGGCCTTGGCGTAGTAGACGGTGTTCTCGCGCTGTTGTGGTCAGTATCCGGCCCTGGAAATTGTTTGCTCCGTATGACGTACCGAGGTGTAGGCGTTGAGGTGGCCGCCCATGTTTTCTATCTCGAGCTCCAATTGCTGCTGTGTGCGCTTCTGGGTTCCCTGTGCCATGCATCAGCGTGCTGTCCCGGTTATTGCCATTGAGTGTCCGTACCTTGAAGGCAAGGTGCTCCAGGAAGTGGGCAGTGCCGTTGGTCCTGTCCGTCTCGGCGCGGCTGCCAGCGTCAATCCAGACACCGACTGTCGAAGTCTGGGCCCACGGGGAGTGCTCGGTAGCGATCTGCGCAGGCGGGTCAATTGCAGTCCTGCATCCTCCTACAGTGGCGGGCATACCGTGAAGCCGTTTCCGAGGGTGGTCGACTCGGTCTTCGCGCCGTAGGCCACGGGCGTGGCCAGGCCGCGGGTCAGAGGCGAGGCCCGCGATGATTTGACGGCGTTGATGGCGGAGCGCGAGCGCATGCTGCGCTGCAGGTTGAGGGCGAGCTGGCGGGAAGCCATTGCGTCTGCTCGCTGTGCAGGGGATGGGAGATGGGGCGGTGATGGGTTGGGGTGGATGTCGATACGTCCAGCTGCAGCGCGGCCTAGGTGAGGTGGATGAGTTTCGTCAAATCTGCGATCACGGGACTTTCCGGCTGCCACCGCTGGCCAATGAGGGCGGCAGGGACGTCAGCAATCGACATCCGAGGCATTGTCGTCAACTACGACTGCGATCCCGATATTGCTTCTTGCGACCTCCACGACCCCAAGCAGACTGCACAATGGCCTCCGTCATGCGTCCCGGCCTCCTCAGGCAAGCTTGCCCGCCCGCCCAGCCCTCGCAGCGCATGCTGTCCACCGCGACCTCGACCCTCAACCGCCCGCTCGCCCAGTCGCTGCGACCAGCATTCCAGCGCTCAGCCATCCCCCAGTCGACCCGCATCGCCGCCTTCCACGCCACACAGCGCAACCAGATCCTGCCGCCGCTGCCCCAGAAGATCATCGGAACCACCAACGACCCCGTCCCCGTGCCAGACCCCGACTACGCTCACGGCAGCTACCACTGGAGCTTTGAGAGGATCGTCTCGGCCGGTCTGATTCCCTTGACCATTGCGCCCTTTGCTGCTGGATCGCTGAACCCGCTGTCCGACTCGATTCTCTGCGCCCTTTTGGTAGTCCACTCGCATATTGGATTTGAGTATGTAGAATGGATGCGTATTGAGTTACAGTGGCTAACATATCACAGGTCCTGCATCATCGACTACTTCCCCACCAAGCGTGTTCCCCTCGTTCGAAAGTCCGCCATGTGGGCTCTCCGCGCCGGAACGGTCGCATTGGGTCTTGCCCTCTACTCTTTCGAGACAAATGACGTTGGCATCACCGAGGCCGTCGCGAGGTTGTGGCACGCATAGATACATCTTGGGACTTGTAATACAAATGCAGAGGCAGGGCTTTTTTCTGATTGAAGTGTCGTATCGTTTGGAGTGTTGTGATGACTCTGCTTGTCGTTGTGCTTAACCTCACCAGCCTTCATCATTCTAGCCCCGCCCTTCTACAGGCTTATCGAGACGGGGTCTTTGCGACCTAGGAGATACAGACTCGTCTTGCTTGTATGCCCACCGAGAGGACATGATGAGCATAGAGATCGGCTTATTTAAATGTGTACTGCTATTCGCCACTAAGGTTTTGGTCCGACTGGTGATCAATTCATTGACTATGGCCTAAACAAGTCCAGCTTACATTGTGCCGTACTGTGATAGACAAGACTCTCCTCTAGACCCCACCGGACGCCCCATCTGGTTTTCATGCTAACATCATACCAGCCACGCGATTGTCAACTGTTGTTGATACTCTCAGCGTGATCATGTCCTCCCACCTCATACAATAGAAAAATTAAACACCCTGGAGCCTACGTTGACCTTAGGCCACCTACTTTGTATGTTTTTACCTTGATGTAGGCTCCAGGGTGTTCGGTTTTTCCCTAGGCTGACGTGCTTCGTGCTGCTGCTACTTACTTAGTCTCAACCTTCTATTGCTCCCAGTGCGTCTTCTCTGGATTAAAAACAATGCCAAACACCTCTTCAATCCCCTCCATATCCACTTCGAGCTTTCCTTCGTAATCCTCGTGCAGTGCACCATAATTGCCGTGGAGGGTGTCGTATACCTCGACCATGATGATGTCCGCTTCTTGCTCGTTCCTCACCCCCAGGAAACCTGTCTTCCTCGGTCCAAGACACATCATCTGCGGCCAATTTTGCTCCGCCATACGACAGCATCCTGTCGGACAGAACGCGTTCGTCAAATCAAACTCTAGATAGTTCATACGCTTAAACTCTGGGCCCCCACCGTATTTGAAGAAACGATAAAGGTCCTCGATGTAACCATCCAAATCACCGTTCAGATAATTCACAGCTCTCTCATGCGCAATTTGCAGACGAGTCGCGGGAGCTAGGCTGTCGAAATCGGCCTCCGTTTTCCAAGTGGAATGATCGAGAGCGGGAAAGCCTTCGTGAGAGCGCCCACTGAAGCCAATACCGATACTTTTGATCAAACGGGGAGCTGAAGCTGAGAAGAGCCACCGATCTGGGAAGGGTACATGCGTGCGGGTGATATCCACGCTCTTAGTGTTGTGGCAAAGACCTGATCCTGCAAATGGTTGTCTTTTCGTGCTTTCATCCGGTAGTACAAATAAGTTGTTGGCTAGGTAGACTTCCTCAGCCTCGCCAAGAACCTGCTTGCAAGTGCGGAGGATAGCCAAAGACGGAACCTAAAGATGAGTGTACGAAGTCAGTATTTGTCTCACATACAGTTCGTACATGGGTATTACTAACTGGATAAGACTCCCAGTCCTCGAAGCGCGCCTCGTTTTCGACAGCGTAGGTGTCGGGTGTATAGAAGACCTTGCCAACAATCACCAGCTCTTCATACACCATGACTCGAAGTTCAACAGGCAAATCGGGGAACCGGAATGGCGTGAAGGCAGTCGTATCCTGAGACGTGGTCGTGGTGGTTGTAGTAACTGTGGTTATGGTTGTCGTCGT